CTCGCCACAGAGTCGAAGCGAAGAAGAGCCCGAGGTTAAGGAGTGGGCGAGCGTGCAAAAGAGAGAGAGAGAGAGAGAGAGAGCCCTCAGCTCGACAGCACCGTAGGTATAGAGTTGTCGCGTTCGCGCGCTCACAGAGCCAATTTATCTACGTGTGTGTGTGTGTATCCCACCAGAGCTCGCGTTTCCACCCCAGCTGAGCTGCAGGAGAGCCACTCTCTGTCCTCCCTTTGCCTCTTCAAAGCTTCCTATTTCTTTCCTACGTAGCCCCGAGTAACGACAGAGGGTCTCTCTCTCGCAGCTTCTGCCGCAAGGGTACAAAAGTACCGAGAGCCGCTGGAATTCTTGGCAAAAGGACAGACGCGGAAATTGCCACACCCACCCACCCCCCTACCTCCACTGCCTGTACACACACATACACGTGTATGTATATAAAACTGGCAATGTCTCCCTCCGTCCCTCCGTGCTGTCGTTGACGCTCTCACCCCCCAACCCCCCTGCACGGTCTCTCGAAATTGGCTTGCAACTATGAGCCAAGCCAGCCACCCGCTGTTGATTCCCCGAAATCGATCTACCAGGGACTGCCCAAAGACTCCCTTCTTCTTCTTCGTGAGGAGCTGCCAAGAGCTCCGGGGGTTAATTGAAACGCATCGTATCTCGTTGGCACTAGCGCTGCCTTTTTTTTTTTTTTAAAAAAACATTCGTTTTTGTGGGGGGTAAGGTGATGGTGGTGGCGTATAAATATAATCCTCGGTACGGGAGACGGAAGAATTAATTCACCGGGGATATCATCGAGCGATATCCCCGGGAGGACACGACCAAAGGACGGACAATTTGGGTGCCAATGGCACAAGGGGGGGGGGAGCCCCCCCCCCCCCCAGTGCGAGTCCGTGCGTATACGTCGAGTCGTGTATATGGTTGTTGGGCAACTAGGTGAGCTATTAATATTTCATAAGTCCGGCTCTTGGAGAGCGAATGTATATACACGCGTGGCTCGCGAGAGGGGGGAGAGAAATTTACAACGCCGAGCCGAGGATATCCTGAAGCGCTAAGTCATACAGCCGGCAGGTGCGCGGTATATATATATATATATACACGAGAGGGGGTAACTGCGACCTTCTTTGGAGCCAGAAACTTTGATTTGCATATACTCGCACACGTACACAGAGGCGGATCCCCAACACCTATATTAGATTATGCAGCTCACCCCCCCCCCCCAGCCCCTCCCTAAGGTGGGCAGCCGAGTAGTCATTCTCTTCTTGCGGCAAATCGGCGCCAAGCCCATAATGCTTCATCTTGTCTGCTGCAGGACGCTACTTTATTTCATATAACTTTATTTCGTATAATATACAGTTGATACAAACTCAGCCATGGTGTATATACTTACTCGGGGAGTGGTACTTCTTGTACGCCCTGCCGAGATTAATAGACAATCACTGCCGGTGCGCGCGAGAGGTCGGAACCACTTGGGACAAAAAGTCACGCGGGGTTATTGAATCTTTTACGCCGTGGGTTTGAATAATGGGTCCGGTGGACCGGACAAAACTATGGTTTCATCGATCATTGGGCTTCGTATCGTTTGTGGTTGTTTTTTGGGCAGGACAACACGAGGCTTGTTTTGCACTTTTTTTTTACAAAGTAATTTCATGCGATTAATAATATTAATCAATACGTTTACAGAAACAAACAAGTGAACTATGTTTTTTTTAAATCTTGACAATTACTGGACAATAATGGGTATAAGCTTCATTTCCACGGGAACCCTAAACTACTTTTATCATTTGACAGTGGAAATTAGACATTTTATAGCCGATTATATCCACCTACTGTTATCTCGGTATACACCTATATCGTTCGGTTCCCCACTAGTTTGGTGCATTTCCCTATATGCCTTTTCTACACTGTAGTAGTCACGCTTGAGTGCAAAATTTTTGTTTTGTGCATAAGTTTGCTTATCTTGTTCAATAAACCGCTATGAAATTCCCCGAAGCTAAGAAATACAAGACATTTTTTTTTTAAATCGATGATGTAAACTTTGTAACGATTCTTGCTGCTGTACCACCAAGTAGAAAAAAGTACGAGTACCTTGGAAGTTCGAGCAGCGATAGCACTTGGAAAGTTTGATCCAAGTCACGTTTGATTGCTGAATAAAAAAAAAAAAAAAAAAAAAAAAAAAAAAAAAATCACTCCATTCTCTAGTATACACACTCAAAAACTTTCTCTCGGTTTCGTCAACTCGTTTTCCCATATCCTCGAGGCGAATATAATCCGTATGATTGGTTGTGCGAGATCAGTCGGTGGAAGCTTTGATACGAAGCGCAATCATTTCACTAATGCAGGTATACTTACTTGCGGAGCTCCATCAATAACTTTTGGCTCCAAGTTCATTGAAACTGCACTCTCTAGAGCAACGCCACTTCCACCACAACATCGACAAACCGAGAGCTTTACTCCCTCCCCCCTCCCTCACTGGGGCACGCGTTTAAAAACTTTTAATGACTATGACGTTTGTTTTGCCACGTACTTACTTCGCGTTCGACGTTTTCCATACCTCTTGTACCTATACATATATCTACACCTGTACAAACTCCCTCCATTACCAATGCACCGTCGACTCTTTCTCTCTCGACCAAAGTGAAAACTTTGCACTCCGCTTCTCCCGTCCACGTGATGTACCCAATATTTTTCCAACGATCGCTCGCACAAGTAAAAATTCTATTGATTCCATCAGTGAGACTATACGTGTATTGTTGAAAGCGATGAAATTTCAGTGACCTTGTGGAGTTATAATTTCGTGACAAAATTAATGTGCAAAGTAATTTTCGCGATGTTCATCCGGCAAAATTTCCAAGACGTCAATTGTCCATTTTACTGTGGTAGGTACAACAGTGTATTTGCAGAGGCAAAACAATTGTTGGAGCAACCGAGCAATCCACGTGACACGTAGAGAAGGGGCTCGGGGAGGGGGGACCCTTCACGCGAATTTGGCCCTTCCGCTCTAGGATCCCCGACTCGAGTCGCATTCTCGCATGGCACGAGAATTTCGCAATTGCGCGGTCAACTGTAGCTTCTTGCTCGGAAAATTTGACACGGCCCAAAGGGTGTGAAACACCGTATATTTACTTCACTCGTGGTTCAAGAATTTCTTCGCTACTTAACCCTCCTCACTGTACATCTCGGTTAACGCTATTATATACACTTTTCAGCCAAAATGGGCGATTTTAATAACTGCGGTTCACGAGTGCAGTGCGTACGTGCACCGTGAATGAACCCCTTAAATTGAATTCGAGTGCACAAAGTACACCTAATGGGAAACCCTCCCACCAGCCCACTTGGTAATTAAAATCTACGCAGGGGGGGGGGAATTCCTCGCATCTTTCGCGTTACTCCCACATACCCCGAACGAACGGGATTCCGATGCTTGTCAATTAAAATTACCCGCGATCTCATCAATTTCGTTATTACGTGCCTCCCGCACTCGTACAAATAAAGCGCGAGCCGCTCGAATACCACGTTTATTTTATTACTTTTTTACGTGGCCTTGGCCAGCATTGCGCTCGATAGAGCTGACGGTGCTTTTGCTCGGCCCAAATCCCAAATAGATATGGATACGAAAAAAAAAAAATGAAACCAGTGTAGTATTTTCCAAACAAATCCGCGAGGGGACTCTTTTCACGAAAAATTCGTCATTCCGTCGACGCAAATATGTACACTTTTCATCAGCATCGCAGAGAGAGGGAGTCATTGGTCGCCAACCCTACTGTGGCTCTCACCGATTTATTGGCGCGTACCAAAGCCGAATGTCACGCGCGACAATCCAGCCACTCTACTCGTATACATACACATACAATACACACGCATGCATGCACAATCGGACGGTCCCGTCGATAACCAGAATGTTCAGCCATTCAAAAATTGCATTCAACCCTCGCCCCGGCGCACATCTACGTACAATCGACCATTGAGATGTATAAGGCAAGGGATGGACTCTTGCAAATATACCACCCGCGTGATGGGTGGACGTGCGCGAGTGTGTAGATGTACATCGCGGTTGACAACAGCAGCGTGGACATAACGAAAGTCGGTGTAATGCGCTCTCGCCCTCTATGTACCTTTATATGCATACATATATACTGTATGTTTGTTATCCTCTTCGTCACACTGGTGGGTATATAATATACAGCTCAGCCTCTACGCGCGTGTGCGTTGATGGTATATATATATCAAGAGAAAGCGCTGCTCGCGGGATATATTCGATGAAATATAAATCAAGCACTTCATGCAGATACCGGCAGAAAGGGTGGGAGAAGGGAGGGTTTCCCGCTGCCCTTTTTTAACCGTCGACGCGGCATTTTTTTTATTCTTTCGTGTACTCATATATGTATATATATATATATATACCTATCTGCGCGCAGAAAGCATGCGCGTCTATGTACACGAGTGCTCGTTGAGCATCGGCAGCAGTGGTGAAAAGAAATTGACGGCTGGGCGAGACACCCACTTCGATCTCTCGTGTAGTGTACCTACTCGGATTCCCACCACTCGCCAAACCAACTCTTTCTACCCCCCCCCCTTTTTTTTCATCGCAGGTTATATATACATACAGCCATCAAGAGTTGAGCAATGAAATGTTTCCCAAGCACTTTTTTTTTTCACCCGGGCGCTGCTTTCACTTTTACCACTCGCGGCTATCAGTGTTTTTCAACCTCGTACGTACATAGCGGTAAATAACGCTTTTTTGCCTCCTCCCACCGCGAAAGCGATTTTTGCTCGTTTATATGAGTTTTTTGGGTGAATTTAATACGACTTTTCATGCGCCACGATGGGAAAAAGTATCACGGAAAAATTCAATCTCGATCCCCTGGAGGGCTTTTTCGTGGACCCCGGACGGTGAATCGATACTTGATCCCTCATTGGAATGACATTGGGGGGGATGATAATGGAAATTACAATGGATTTTCGTAATAATGGCCCTTCTCGTGGTTGGATTGCTGTTTCAGCTACGACATAAGGGGAAAGAATCTGTTGAAGCCGTCGGAGTGGATGGTCGAGTACTTGAATCACCGGACGTCCTTTCAGACGAACAGGCATCCTGCGACGCTGAATATCGAGCACGTGACGGACACCGACGCGGGCGAGTACAGGTGTCGCGTCGACTTCAAGAAAAATCCCACGAGGAACTCGCGAGTCAACCTGACCATCATCAGTGAGTATATTATACACTGCTCTATCGTAGTTTCTTTTTCTTCTTCTTTTTTTTTTTTTTTTTTTTTTTTTNATGTATGTAGTCTCCTCCTTCCCCTATACGCTGTTGTTAACCCATCGTGTCTTCCCCATTTTTTTTTTTTTTTTTTTTTTTTTTCTAATGATACCTTTTCTTCTCATTCTACACCTTGTTATTATTATTTTTTTTTAGTAAGTATATATTGATCAATATCAATTTCATCCTTTTTTTGAGTTCTGTAAAATATGATGACAAAACAAGCAACCAAATCGGAGAACCGACTCCGTCAGAAATCAAATTGAACTTTGGATATCCTTGAAACTCCCTTAAATGTCCCTTTATTTTACTAAATTAAGATGGCACCTGTCTTAGGTTTAAGGGTGTGGTATTTGATGGTGTTACGCCTTCAATTTGGCTGCCTTACTGACTCAGCGTCGTATCTAAACTCTAACATTTATTCAGTTTTAACTTATTATTATACTCTTGTTCTTCTCGTTACAATATTATACTTGTTATTTTGTTTTTCGGACAATTCATCGATACAAACGTTATTGATCTCAGCGCATTGATACGAATTTTTTGTGCGACACATTAATACGTACATAACAACAATTTTTCTTTTAATCATAAAGTCGTACAGAAAAATTGTATACTCGACGCGTATAAACAGTTAAAAAAAAAAAAAAAACCTAAATAACTCTGGATCAAGCAAACCCCCGACCCCAGCAAAATTAGTTTCCTCCGTGAACTCACTCGCTCGCCACAAAGTCTTTGATCAGTAATCTCGTTTCCATTCCCTTTAGTTTTAATTAACCGAGTTTTTAAAATCAACATACGCTCCAAAGTCCTCTTTTGAACTCGCACTTGAATAATAATTTTTTTTCCCCCTCGCCGCGAACCCTCTGGCTTGCGCCATCACTTTGCCTCCTCGCGAAGCATTAACCGCCAAGTTGGTGAACAAAACAACAACCGTTTGCAATCGTGATGACGATTTATTTTTTGTTCTCGACTCCCGCGAGATCAAAGAATAAGGATATTCTACCGCCGACCGGAATATGTATAGGTACACCAGACTTTACAGTTTAAGCTCGAAAGAGCGAACGACTTCCTCCTCTTTTCCTCGCCGTGCTCACACGTACCCAAAAAAAAAAAAAAAAAAAAAAAAAACCCGAATAAACGTTTCATCGGAGCCGCGAAAGCAGCGGTCATTAGTACCTATACTTCACTTACACATACTCGTATAGTCCTGGCGGTTCCATGCACGAGGTCTGTGCACCACTCCGAGGAGAAGCCAAAGTTGATTGGCCGGACCGTAAATCAACGTCCCTCCCGCTTACGAGTCGGCTCCCCGGAATAAAACTCTCGTTGGACTCGAAAGCGAAAAAAATTGAGCTGCTTTTTTCCACCCCCCGCTCGTTGTCGAGTCGCCCCCCATCCCCTCGCGATGATTAACGTTCCGTCGAGCTGTTTTAAGTAATACGACGTCAGAGCTATGACACGGGCATTTCTCTATTCGCGGGGGATATCATATCCAAAGTGTATAGGGTGTACGTATACGTATAATTAATGGCTTTGGTCTGCCGGTAGCGGGGCTGGGCTTTCACGTTGGGCATGAAAACATACGAAAATCAATGCTTTTTTTTTGTTTTGTTACAGTACCGCCGAGCAAGCCCAGGATCATTAACCAGTACGGCGACCCCGTCGAGTCGATGGCAGGACCATTCACGGAAGGCGGAGACATGCAGCTCAAGTGTCTCGTGTCTGGAGGTAAATGACGAATTTCTTCTTGAACTCTCCGTGAAAAAAAAAAAAAAAAAAAAAAAAAACATTTCAATGGCCAGTACCAATCATTGAAAGACGCTAATTTAAAACGAAAATTTCTCTCTGTACACGATACACGTCATTGCATAGGATTGACTAAAAATAAAAAAAATAGACAAACACGCTCAGTTGTACACTCTTGTGATACAGACGTCATTTACAAATGAGCATTGCTGCTGCTTGTGCGGTATAATGCGAAAATCAATCATTTCCATCTGCCATTTCCGCGGCCGGTCGGTCCGTCGAAGCCCCCCGTGCGCACTTAATTATCGTTTTCCCGTTGACCCGCGCGCCCTGCCCGCAGACCCACTTTCCGCGGTCTCGAGAGCTCTCGTCAATTTATCGCGCAAGCCGACCGCGAAATCGATCCCGCTGCTGCACACTTTACCCCCCTCGTAGCTATATATACGTATATATATATACAACAAATCGTACAATGTAGCTCTCGAAGCATCACCCCTCGACGTTCCCGATGATAAATTCATTTTTATCGCCTCGGCCGCGCCGTGCGTCCGACTGCCCGAAATTACACCCCCTCTCGTCTCGTGCTCCGTCGAAATTCCTACACATTTCCTTCTTTTTCGTGCTCGTGCGCTCTGGCTCTGATGTTTCTGTATACGGACTCGCCTGTCTGAAAACTTGCTCTAGAGGCACGCTCACCCCTCCGTATATGTATACGTATTTGCTCGTTCGCGTGAAATCGCTTCGAGCGCTTCATTATTTCATCCACTTTCGCCCATAAATACTTTCATGCCTCCGCGTCGTTTCTGTAACTCTATGACCAATTTCTTTTTTTTTTTTCTTTTCTATTTCAGTTTATAATGTAATTTTTCAACATCCGATCCACCACCGAGAGGAATGAAAACTCTTTTTTTTTTATCCTCCACGAGGGATTCGAGGGGGCAAAAACTGCAATCTTTTTTAATATCGCGGAAGCCGAATCCTTCCCTGCTCGCGTTTCAAAACTCGCGGCTCCTGTGTAACCGAGTTAAAAAAGTTCGCGTCTGCATGCACCCTCACGTGTGTTATACGCAAAACTACTGCAGTGGTCGTCATAGTGGTGTGCGCATTGAGTATATAACGGAGGAGGGAAGACGTGCGAGCATGAAAATAAAATTACAGGGAAACAACAATGATATCGAAAAAAGCTCGGGAGTCGAGAGCGAAGCGGAAAGGAGGATGGAAAGGGGGGAGGGAGTGTTGCGAGGAGTTCCGCGAAAAATTTTCCATTTTATGAAAAAAAAAAAAAAAACCTTGTTTCTTTTAGATTGTTCTGTTTTCATGACAATACAGCTCTCCGACGAGAATTTGCGATCGATGCTTTTGATTTCTGTTGAACCATAATCAAAGGACGAACGCAAGGTTTTACCTAAGACGATGAAGAAAAAAAATTTCAGAAAAGAAAATTCACTTATCGAGTCCGAACGCCACTTGATGAACTTTACGAGACTTTTTCGATATCGACGAAAGCTCGGGATCCACAAAACAGCCGATTTTCCGCGGAATGGCACGTATTTAGAGCAGCGTGCGCTGCATTTTTTTTTTTTTTTTTTTTTCTTTCCCACTCCATCATCGCGGGGTGTATCCTCCTCCTATACTCCTCGGTGGTAGTACAAGGTACCTATACGCTCCCTCCCTCTCTCGCTCAGGCAGCAACTTTGCCGTGTATACCTCGGGGGGGAAAATTATCCGCACGCAACAACGTCCATTATGAATTATGAATTAACGTGTGCTGGCGCGAGCGCATACGGAGGACCGTCGTCGGTGGGGCTATATATATACGTGCACACGCATCAAGTAATACACGTATACAGACGGGCACGTGATGCGGGGAAAAAAAGGAAAAGAGGATGGGTATTTACACGGGGAGGAGACGCTAAGTAGTCGGGACACGTTAACGCGACTCTGTATGTATGGTGCGCGAGTGTCATTGTCCCTCCACCGTCGTGATAATGCTCCACTCGCGCGACCGCGCGCATAAAGAGAGGAACTCTCGGCAAATTAAATCACTATACTATTTTATTCCCTCCTCGCGCCATATATATTATGTACAATCGCATGTAACGACTATTGTTATTTTTCTGTTCCTTTTTACATGTACTTATTTAGGTCACCCCCTTTTTCTGATGGCGTTGGCATACACTTCACGTTTGAAGCTCCTTTCGGTGGATTAAAAACCGTGTGCTTTTCCCACTCCCCCCCCCCCTCCTTTTTTTCATCATTTTCTCCCTGCCAGGGAAACATTTTTGCTTCCGCGCGTACACGCGGCACGAGCAAAGACTCGAAAAAAAAATAAAAGTCCCTCGAAGCTGGTGGATTAATTTACGAGGGTTGTACATGTGCGCGCTTTGAGGGAAACATCTTGATTAAAAGCACCGTACGAGGTGAGAAAATAATAACAACGATGGTACCTCAACCGCGAAAAAGACACCGTCGTCTGGTCTCCGGAATCCGGAGTTGAGAAAGTAATCCCCACACCACACGATCCTATATTATGTACCGAAAAGAAGCGCCGTTTAAGCGGTAACTTTTCAGGGATCGTTACCTGAAATTCAGCTTCGCCAGAGATTGCTTGTCATGCTATACAACCGTATACACTTGAATTGTAAGTAATTGTCGAACGATCAACAGGTAATCCAGTGCCTACGGTGCGATGGTGGCGGGACGGTATGCTGTTGGAGGCGAAGGACGAAGCGAGTGGCTACCCGAACGTGAGGCAAAACCTGCTGGTCGTGAAGAACCTCAGCAGGGCGGACTTGCACGCGAGGTTCGAGTGCCAGGCGTCCAACAACAACATAAGCATGCCCATCTCCACCCACGTGGCCATCGAGATACACCGTGAGTATACAATAGTATAAATTACACGTGAAATTTTATTGTTCGTATGGTTACTTTTTGGCATTTTGTACCCTCCGTTGTCACCTCGTGTGAGAGCGGTACACTGGCATTATGATTTAAAAAAAAAAAAAAAACCAGCATGACTTATACGCGATCGCAGTCAAAGTGATTCCGTTTAGAGATAAGGGGTTGCATCGCGATTCAACCCAGCGACTGTATACACGGCGTCTCGCGGCTTTTACTCACGTCGAGCGAGACATTGAGATTTATCCTCCCTCAACCGAGGAGCATATAAAAGGCCCACGCTACAACGTGTCGGAGCCACTGCCCGAGATAAGCGTATTAAAGCTGCGATAATCATCGCCGTAATAAATCTTGGCTGCTGAAGACACGCGGCCGCGCGCGAGAAAGACCGAGGAGTTGATGAAGGAGAGCAGAAGAAGAAAAAATAACAGCCCGCGATAAGCTCGTGCACGCAGGCGAGGAGCAGAGAGAAAGAGAGCTGTTGAAGCGATGGCTTCCAAAGATATATATATAATATCTATTACTATTATTATTACGTGTCTATATCCTTGAGTGAGAGAATTTTTCGTATTTGTATACGATGATTACCCTAAAGGTGTATACGTAACGAGAAAGTACGAAGTAAAAAAGGATCGGTCACAATACGGGTATACATGGGTGCTCAACTGCGCAAACGTTATTGTCGATTGCGCGTACATATAGGGTTGGACGCGCGTGTCACGATAGCTATCGTTTTCGTGCAGCCCACGCGGAAAAGCCGCCGTCCTGTCCTTTCCACTTTAATATTTATTCTGTACTCGAATCGCACACATACACATGCGCGCTGGCACGTACACAAGCGAGTTGACGGGGGAAAAAAAAACAGAGGCCACGCGATAAATCCCCGTATCATCTTGGCGTGATAACTTTTTGTGACCGCCGAGGTTACACGTATACGCACACACACAGGAGACCCGCACTCGCGCATAATCAATCTGATCCTCCGTTGGGGTGTGTTTAGGGGAGGGTTGGATATATCTCGGGGTTGGATCCGAGCGGCAGAAAATACGCGCTCGAGCGAAAGGGATCTGTCGTTGAATACGTTGGTGGGTTTCGTGTGTCGCGGAGCCACGCGATACGTAAAAGAGGCAGCAGAGGTACCTTTGTTTTTTTTTTGTTTTTTTTTTTTTTCCAACNTTGGTGGGTTTCGTGTGTCGCGGAGCCACGCGATACGTAAAAGAGGCAGCAGAGGTACCTTTGTTTTTTTTTTGTTTTTTTTTTTTTATCATTGTTTGGTTATACGCCAAAGTTCTGGGCGCAAAAAAAAAAAAAAAAATATAGAAAAGCTTGCCTGACGTTTTTGACGAAATTGAGTTTTTATCGGGATCCGAGTCCTAAGAGAGAAACCAAACAATTTTGATGTAATAGCGATTTCCTCGTGTATACGTTTAAGGGAAATTGATTATGTTAAATACCGATATCTCGAGAAGAGACGAGACGGTCTGTATAAACAAAATACAAGTGTCAGGGCAAGAGGTCAAAAAGCTTCCTCAAGACGATAGGGGGCTTATAAAAAATTTTCGAGAAGAGACGATGAGTACCGACAGTTGTATCTGTCCTTTCGGACCATAAAGCGGACCGTAACCGAAAGGACAGATATAACTGTAGGGAAAGTTTACTCTTTCATCTTTCTGTGCCAGCCATTATTAATTCATTTCCGATTCGTCTGCAAGCTATATGCGGTATAGATGTCAAATAATTCAGTAGTTTTTAGAAAATGTCTGCCAGTTGCTAAAAACTCACCATCAGCACCACTCCCATCATAAGATGGTTCGAATAATAAAAGATTCGCATAGATATAAATACATCATTTTTAGAGTTGCGTAAGGAAAAAAAATTTAAATGTAAAATTCGACGTCCCCGAATAATTTTGACTGATAAAATACATGCGTTTCAATTTAATTTTAAACGTGTAACCATAGACCCCTCTTAAAAAAAATTTTTGTTAGACCAATACAAAGTTTGTTTTGCTAGAAAACTAAAATAAATCGAATCGAATAAATAGAAGGAACACGAAGTCGCCGCTTCAAAGTGTCTGGCACGTGATTGTTTGTTTGCACAGAGCAGTGTGTGTACACACACGAGGAGAGATAAGAAAAAATAATAAACGGAAAAATTGCGCTTGGTCACACGTGTGTGTTTCCTATCCTCCAATCCGTGATTGATTGTCATTCCTGATAGGACATGCGAGCATTATTTTAACGATGGAGTCTTTATTGAATTCCCGGATGAAAAAAAACGTGGTTTATACAGGTACACGGTGAAAACTGTTGAAATACTAAATATGGTATACGTTATCACCTCTTCTGTAGCTTTATATCGGTTGAAGTTGATTAAATAAAAGTTATTGTTATTTTTCTTCGTCTGTATAATTTTAGGAGAATTTTTGTCTAACTAAGACTTGAAATTTTTATTTTTTATTTCAACACTGTCCCAGAAACAATCTAGTCGCATTGAAGTATCATCAAACGAAAAGTATAGTTGATCCTGCAGTATACTAGGCTGGAACCAATTGCAGCAATAAGTACAACTTGTAATATGACTTAGTGAAGAAACAACGAAAGCGGTCGCAACTCTTAAAAAACACTAAAAAAAAAAAAAAAAAAAGGACGTACAAACGTATACCGTATCAAAACGTGTAACGTATCAAAAAAAGGTACGCGTTAAAACGATCGTCATCAAAGGACGAAATGAGTTGATAAATGAAAAGCCATCGTCACTCGGGAGAAGAGCGGCGCATCCATTCCCGTAGATACAAATTGCATGCACGCATTCCTTAACCCAAGCACCTATAAACCTCCGCACCACCCCCGCAAATGGAAGGAGAAGGAGCTCGAGTGGGATACACGTACAAGGCGCGAGAATACGTCCCCCCGGTGGATCCTATCAGTGCTCCCGGGACGCGCGACTACGTATACAGTGGCGCCACGTAAAGTGCCATACCACCCCCCCCCCTGTTCTTATCTCACCCCGGCGCAAAGAGCCTAACTATACCATCAACGTCCGATACGAGGCGCGTGGGAGGGAAAGTTTATGTTTATGCACCACGCGCTCGTGTACGCGTGTCTCCACGTGTTGGCGTTGTTGTTAACGCGCGCGTGTACCATATCTCAAGTAAGTATACGTACAAACGTACATACATATATACGCTGCGGGCCAGAAGCGAGTTGCGTGCATGGGATATTAACAAATCCTTTCACCGCTGTCCACGTACCCCCTTTGTCTCTTCCCAACGAGCTATAATATAATTACACACGTGTTGAGCTTTCTTTATCTACCTCCCCCGTGAAATCGATGGAACGCGGTAATAAAACGAAAGGCTGGAAAAATCGGTAAAGCGCCGATACTGCAGTATTATGGCACGGCATATAAGCGCAAAGAGAAAGTGCCCGAGACGGTAAAGGGATGTATCTAATCTTAATCCGAATTGAAATTCACGTGGCAATCTCGCGTACTTACGTAAGTGCTCCGAACCGTTCAGGGGGAGGGGGGAGGCTATTCCGGGCAATCGATTTTCGCGCAAGCAGCCCCAAACGGCGGAACGCAAGCCACCACCACCACTTACCTATCCAACCGACGTTCGCCTGGCGCCTCGAGGCTCAGCAGCAGGAGGAGGAAGAGTGTAGTGGAGAACATCGGAGAGCTCTATCGTGATTTAGCGACAGTGTCGGGTGGGTTAGAGGAGGGACACATCCTGCTTACCGGATAGAGAGAGAGAGAGAGAGAGGAGCCAGCCGGAGAGGAACACTGTAATAACCCGGGTGTGGTGGGAAAAGGCTATGCGGGGGGGTAAAGCCTAATAACCGGACTAAAATATCGACAGAGTTACGTCATAACTATCTCAAGGCACGAAACTTTGACTTTCGTGCATTATACGTACAGCCCGCGAGCTTTCAGCCAAAGCTCTATCCCCCCCCTCTCTCTCTCTCTCTTGGGTGCTGTAATTTTGCAATCTTCTCTACCAAACTCCCTCGAACTCTCTCTCTCTCGTTTTCTCATCCATGCGGTATAGTGTCCGGCGAGCTGTCTTTTGAGAGTCGTATACCCTCGCGCCATCGGCTTTCGAGATATAGGGCCGGGATTAGGGCCCACACGGAGGTGCTGCGCCTTCGAGTTGTCCACCTCTGGTTTTCTGCACCTACAACAGAGTATCTCGAAGTCGAGGTAGGCAAGTTAATTATTTCACTCTCCAATCAACGCGAGTCGATGTTAGTTATTGCATGGCGAGTGTAAGAATTTAAACGAGGAACCTAAAATATCGACAGTGGAAAAAGGGCCCTTGGCGCGGGGTGTTTATTTAATTAAGTTTAACTCGGGCAGCTGTAGGTTTTTATTCTCACTCTGAAAAGCTTTTATTTAATTTTTTAATTTTTTTTTTTTTTCAAACGAGAGCACTAACGATCGCGCCGAGCTAAAGCTTGTATTTACTGCAGCTGCTTATGCGCCTTAATTGAGAGTGCTAGTTTTGCCCGTATTTAGCGTAGGGCCGTGGGGTCAGGTGGGGCGGGGTCGACAAATCGGATCGCCGAATTCTCGAAGCGGAATAATCGATGGCGAATAAACGCGAGCAAGGGTGCATGTATATATATATATAGTATTGGCGCACAATGGGAGAGCGGAGGGGGCCAAGCTGTTTCCGGGTCGAAACGTAATCGACGCTCTGCGCCTTTTCTCTCTCTCTGTTTTTCTCGCAGCTTTTGGTCCACTGCACTGCCGGCTGGCCGACTTAGTGTTATAACAAAGTTTGGCTGGAAAAAAAAGAAAAAAAAAACAAAGGTAAAAATAAACCCGAAGAAGTGCTGGCAGACAACGAGAGGAAAAATAAAAGAGAGAGAGAGAGAGAGAGAAGTCTTATTTTTGCACTCGAGAAAAACGATTTTCTCTCGTCGTCCTTTATACCAGGCTTTTCTGTTTCTCTCCCTCTTTTTTTTTTTATT